AGGCCAGTGAGAGACCATGTCTCAGAGAACAACAGGAGGCACCTGGGAATGGTACCCAATTTTAACACCATTTCCACACGCATGTGCATAAAGTGCATGGGCACCCCCCCCCCCTTAAATTGTGCTTTGAGTACATTGTATCTGAAACTAATACTGATTGGACAGTAAAGGGAGGGAGAGCCAGTGGCCTTTGGCTGGCTAGAGCATTTCCTGACCTGATCCTCTTAGTTCAGAAACAGCTACCACTCAACTCCTACTGAACACATTAGAAACCAGCCTGGGTCGTTTACAGGAATAACCAGAACAGATCTTCTGCATGGCTGCTAGCTGGGAGGAAGCCATTCTGGGTACCCTAACAGGTAAGCATCTGCTTACACAGAAAGACAACAGACAAGGAAGATGGAAAGAGGGAAAGGAATAGTTATAGCTAGATAATGCTAGTAGCTAGATCAAACTACCTCTAAAGCCATGGTCTGGAACTTTACAACAAAGTGAGGCAACATCTTCTAATTTTTGTTGACACTAGTTTTAGTTGGTTTCTGTCCCTTGTAATTGAAAATCATCACCAATTCATAGACTCCTAATAGGATACACTTGAAAATTTTTAGGTTTAGTGGGAAAGATGCACTATTTCAAATTCTGTAGCTATTTTATCCTTGGAGAAATACCACATAATTTTTGATTTCAAATTTTACTTAAACTACTTTTATTCAAATCCTTTAAAAAAGATTTATGTGTATCGGTATTTGGCCTGTTATGTATTGCTGCTAGGTCCCTTAGACCTGGAGTTACAGATTCTGTGAGCCACCATATGGGTCCTGGGAATGAAACCTAGGTCTCCCGGACGAATGTAAGTGCTCTTTACCACGGGGCCATCTCTTTAGCCCCAAACTTACTTATTTTCATTTTACACATGGATTTGTGTGCAAGTATGCATGTGTATCACATGTGTGCCTGGGGCTCTTGGACACTAGATGAGGATTGGATCCCCTGGACCTGGAGTTACAGACAGTTGTGAGCTGCCATGTGGGTGCTGGGAACTGAACCTGGGTTCTCTGGAAGAGCACAGTGCTCTTAACTGCTGAGCCATTTATCCAGATCTTTATTATTTATTTAGGTCTTTACTTAGGCCTATCTGCAAATAGCCTCTGAATCTTGGGCTAATTCCACCAACTGCTGACACAGAGCTGTAACTGCTGTTTATGGAACACTTACCTTTCAAAGAAGTGAGTGTTGGGCAGGATTGTGCAATTATGGACACTAAGTTGTATCTAGTTTTTCCTGTGATTTGAACCTACTCTATTAAAAGCATGCCAATTATTCAACCATTCATTTTGAATGAAAAGGTGGTACACTGGGGTGTGGTGATAGTTTGATTGTGATCTAACAAATAAAGCTTGCCTGAAGATCAGAGTGAAAAGCTAGCCATACTAGTAAGCTATAGAGGCCAGGTAGTAGTGACACACACCTTTAGTCCCAGAACTTGGGAGACAGAGGCAGATGGTTCTGTTAGTTCAAGGCCACCCTGTGATGGGGAATGTACTTCTTTGTATGTTTATCTTATTGATTGTTGAATAAAATACTGTTTGGCCAATGAGAGAGCAAGTTAGACAGGACTAGAAGTCAAAGAGGATTCTGGGAAATGTAGTAGAGAAATGATGATTTAAGCAGGAAGTGACATAGCAAGGAGACTCATTTAAGCAAAGGAGAAACAGGAAGGGCCCTCTTTTCCCCTCTGCTCCTGCTCCAGCGGCACAATGTGATCCACCAGCCAGGAGGGACGCCAACAAGGTGTCCAATAAGATAAGTCTTCTAAAATATATAGATTTATGATAGTCAAGACTGAGCTAACAGATGAGAATCCTAGTCATTGGCCAAGCAGCTTTGAACCTAATACAAGTTTCTGTGTATTCATTTGGGCCCTGACTTGGGTGGGCAGCTTGCATAAAGCATACACGTGGCGGTGGGGCTCAGTGGTTTTTGGCAGAAAGATTTATTGTAACAACCCTGAGCTACATGAAATTGATCCAGTCTAAAAGAGAAATAGAGCTCACATAAAGGTGACACCAGCCAGCACTTGGAGTGACACGTCCTTAATCCCAGCACTAGGGAGGTGGAGACAGGAGGAACATAGCTGGGAGGAGACAGGAATGTAAAGTGGGAGGAGACAGGCGCTCAGTGCAGTCCGAGGATGCAGTCTGAGGACAGGATCACCCCTCTGCTCTGAGCATTGGTAGAGGTAAGAACTCCCTAGTGGCTGGCGGCTTTGTTTCTCTGATCTTCAGCATTAACCCCAATATTTGACTCTGAGTTTTTAAGAACAATTAGAATTCATGTTAGGCTGGGGGGCTGGTGAGATGGCTCAGTGGTAGAGGTACCTATAGCCATGCCTGATGACCAGAGTTTGATCCATGGAAACTACATGGTGTACCGAATTAATTCTCCCAAGCTATCTTCTGACTTCTACATGTACACCCACATCTACAAAATAATAAATACACCAGGGAGAATAAAGTGTGCAAGGAAATGACAAGGTTCTGTAATAATGAGTGTTGGCTTTCTACAGCATTACTAGGAATGTAGGTAAAGGGCAGATGCTAGAACCAACGTGTTAAGTCTCAGTGGTCTCAGCAGTTTCATGTTTCAAAGGGTACAATTAAACTTTTCAAAGGCCTGTACTTTTCAAGGAAATGTTATGTGTGCTTCTATTTTATAGATAAAACATGGAGGAAGACTAGACAAAACACAGCAAATGTTAAAGATTACCAAGAACTGGGAGAAATAACAAGTTTCCTAAGGTTTCATATTTTATTTTTATTTTATGTGTGTTTTGCTTGTCTTGTCTGTGCACTACATGCACACCAGGTTCCCATGGAAGCTGAATGAGGACATCATACCCTATATTCTGGATGGTTATGCACTGTCATATGGTACTGGATATCAATTCCTGGTCCTCTGGAAGAGCAGTCAGTGCTCTAGCCACTGAGCATCTATCTCTCCAAACCCCATATTTCAGAGCGAGAAGAAAAAGCTAAAAGCTGAATCATATACCAATATTCTATTAAATAGATATCATATTGCTGGATATGTATCAGGTACCAAAGCCTGGCCTTTTTAAACTTGCTTGTCTTTGAGAAGGTTCTACTGTTCTGGTTGCCTATATAAGCTATATGACATAAAGACTACCTAACCCTAGTAGTTTCTGTGATGGGTGCATGTGTGTATGTGTGTGTGTGTGTGTGTGTGTGTGTGTGTGTGTGTGTGGAGAGAGAGAGAGAGAGAGAGAGAGAGAGAGAGAGAGAGAAAACGATGGCATTATAAGGGTCAGCATGCAGATAGTACTAATATACCAATACTGCAGAGGATTTGTCATAGGCCGGACTTCATGGTTGGAGACTTGGTATTGACTGAAAATTAAGAGCCAGAGATGGCACAAACCTGTCTCAGAAGGCTGAGGCAGGAGAACTTGAAGTTAGTCTGGGCAACATGGTTAAGTTTCAGCCAGTACAAGGCGAGACTGCCTCTCTAAAACAGATGTGGTGCTAAGGTGGTGCAGACTCTGAATGACTCCTTCCCACACAGCAGACCTCCTTCCCACACCAGTGTCCACCATGAGAATTTGATAGAAGCTACTCATCTTGGGGATATAACTATATCTGCACACATGCCTTAGGTGAGTAGATCTCCTGAGGTACATCCCAGTTCACTAGTGAAGAGATCTAGTGCTCTAGTGCAAGAGACTCACAAGTACCACCACGTAACAATGATCTCACCAGCACTGGTGAGCTGGCTCAGTGGTTAAGAGCACTGGCTGCTCTTTTCAGAGGACCTGGGTTCAATTCCAGCATCTGATGTCTCCCCAGGCATAGACATACATGGAGGCAAACAGCCATACAGGAAGAGTGAAATGCAGTAACAACAACAACAAAAAGCAAAACTGAACCACACTTACTCCAGACAGACGGTCTGACAATCCCCTCCCTTACATAAAAAAGGAATAAACTTAACACCCATGGTAAGAGCAAGAACTTGCTTTCCGTAGCATTACTAGAATGTCCCTTCACTGGGCTTATTTCCTCATGTCTAAATGTAAGCACATTTTATTCTGTAGGATATTATTTGCTGTCAGTGTCTGCAATGGCCTTTTCATGTAGGCATATTTACATATAAAAGCAGCAAAGATAAACGTCATTAAAACCAGAAGAGACACAGCTTGCTAATAAATTATTCTTTAAAGAATATTTTAAGCTAGCTTTGGGTGCTGTTTCCCAGGCTGTGAAGCCGAAGGGAAAGAAGCCATTAACTGAGCTGCTAACAGTTCAGCAGAAATTAAAAAGAATGTGAAACATTTAACAGATCTCACATTAATGTTAAAAATACAGATTCCTTTTCTTCATATAAAATTACTTCTGTTAAATGTACCTATAATTATTACTACTATTAATTTTATGTGTATAGATGTTCTGCCTGCTTGTATGTCTGTGGACCACATGCATGCCTGGTGCCTGCAGCGGCCAGAGAGGTGTCAGATCTCCTGACCTGGAGTTGGTTGTAAGCCACTATGTGGGTGCAAAGAGTCAAAGCGGAGTCTCTAGAAGAGCAGCCAAACTCGTAACCACTGAGCCACGTCTCCAGCTCTAACATTTTTTTACTGTGTGTGGACATATGCTCCCACACATGAGGGCCTTGGTGTGTGTGTAACAGTCAGAAGACAACTTTTAGGAGGGGGCTCTCTCCTTCCAAAATGGGTTCCAGAGATCATCAATCATGCGAATGAATGTCTTTACAGAGTGAGCCATTTCAATGGCTCTTAAATGTATTGTAAATCTAAAGTAACCAAGCGGATGTTCGAAAGACATAGCTGCATTAAGACTTGTTTTCTGAGTGTCAACATAAACTGTCATTAGAAGTGGGGATGCAAACTTAATTATGCTTCTCCTCACTAAAGATATATGAAGGAAGTAGGGTATACTTAAGAACCAGCATAAACACATACATAC